ACTTAAGTGGCTATTGGTTTGAGTTGGTAGATTTTTGTAATGAATAGAGGTTTTCATATTATTCGAATCAAGTCATTCATCTTATGTTATTGCCTTGTGAAACTGGCATATTTCAAGAGTTGTTCTCAGATTTTTTAACTTTATTCACAGTTTTAGTTAATATAAATATGTCGTTAACGTTAGCGGCTTTCAAGTTTTAGATGTTTTAAATTTACATTTTAAAGATTTTGATATATAGAATGCTGATAGTGTTGAAGTAATATATGAACCAATCAGTTTGGGTGAAGATATTTCAAAGCAGTTTCTTGAGATTTTTTCTTTTATTTTTGGTGGGAGAAATATTTATAAATATTGTTAATTATAATGTTCATTTTTTCATCTAACAGGTGCGTTGGTCAGTATAAATATCTTTCTATGGTCGGCTGCAAGAGGACACCGGTCTTCCAGTGGCGGGAGATGAAATGCATATTACAGACTTCTTCTTGACCTACAGACTATGCCTGTAATTTTATACTGCAAATAAACCGAGCTGACCTTACAGTTTTTGGGAGAAAGCGCATAATCTGGCGAGTACATTTTTTTGAACACGGCCAGCACACTCAAACCCTCGGCCACGATGACTTGTGCCTTCATGCTAGCACAACCATCGACGGCTACCGAGCTACATACTTTCACTCAAAAAGCTTGGGCTAACACGTGGTATAATTTTCATGCAGTTTCGAAAGGTGCCACGGTCTGGGGTTACCAACACAGGTAAACATTATCAAGAAGTCACCGTCCTGAGAAATCGACCATAGTGGAATTCGAACCCTGGTATTATGACCAGAAAGCAAACTTTCTAACCACTTGCGCCCATAGCAAAAAGACTTCAACAGACTGCCTTTGAAATGACGAAACGCGTTGCATAAATTTGATTCCTTCTGTCATTCTGTAACTAAACATTGTTCATATATATATATATGTATATTGATGCACATATACACAAACATACTATAGTTTCTCCTTAATAGAAACATTCATTAACGTCTATATATATATCCATGTACGCGTACACTTCAAAAAACATCTAGATCGACAGAAAAAGAAGACAGATGAACTGTTTTCACATAGATAGATAGATAGATAGATAGATAGATAGATAGATAGATAGATAGATTGTATGTATGAAATATAAAAGCAGTTCTCACAAATTTATATAATAGATAAGTGAATAGAAACATATTTTTGTTTATCTATATCTGCGAATGTATATGATTGCATACGTATGAGTGTATGAACATATATATATATATATATATATATAATTATAAGCTGAATTTTGTATCTATTGTATAATGAGTTTATACATAGGTATATCTACGTACTAAGGTGTGTGTGTGTGCGTTTGTGCGCATGTGCATGCCTGTCTCTTTGTGAATTAAATATATTGATGAGTGGGTGGATGACGTGCATTTTAGCAAACGCATGCATACACACATATGTGTACAGGATACAGCAGAAGCTTAAGTACTAATTATAATATGAAGAAAAACAAATATATTCAACAGAAAACGCCAGACCAGTGTTCTTTAAAGTTGTGCACATATTCAACAGTAAAAAATGTTATTTAATAAAAAAAATGTCTAATGATACTGTCTTCAAGCTTTATACGGTTTCAGAAATGATTGTATGGCCGGATCAAATTGTTCGCGTTGACATGACCTCAATGACCTCAATGAGAAACTTCAAGGTGTCCTCGGTACTGTGAAATTATAGTTTGGTTTCCTTCTCATCGATCCGACAAGCGTAGTTGTCCAGGAGATTCCAACCAGGAGAGTTCGAAGGTCACATATTAGAAGTGAGATGATCATGAAAATTCTTGGATCGTGTGGGGTTATATGAGAGACACAGGGTACTTTTGGAATATGTACGCTTTTAACCACCTTGTCTATAGGCGGTGACATTGACTCTAAAACTGCAACCTTCTTAATTATTATATGTGAGTTCAGTGGAGCGAGAGATAAATAAAACTACTTGTAAAACCAAAGATGAACTGAAGTTGAACTTGGTTGAGTTAGGTGGCCAGATATAAGGGATGATGTGGTCGCAGAAATTGTCTGACAGCCAGGACTGTGTTCACCTTTTTGGGTGGTATGGTGCAGAGTCCTCTTGCCAGACATACGGTCTTCCAGCAGCCACTCTCTTGACCCAGGGCAGCACTAACTCCTCAAGACACTTGATGTAGGCCTCTGTGTTGAGGCTGAAGCCCTCACCAACAAATTCGGGTGTTCTTTCTCATCAGCACGACCAGACTGAGTTTTCCGAGCTGCCGTGCGTTCGTAATCACCATTTCACTCATGTCATCTTTTTCCGAATCTTCTGAAGTGTCCTCAGATTGACACCCAGTGCAACTGACAATCAGTACAGAATATCGTTTCCAAATTTCTGGCTGAGTGAATTTCATCATGCCGCTCATTTTCTCATAGACGGTGCCCTATTTACTCTAATACACTGTGCAGTCGACAAAATCACAAACAAACAACGCGCATGTACGAAATTAAAAATATAATAAGGTGACAATTTATCCATTGCACCCTGTATATTTTGAGAAAAATGAACCTAGGCAAATATATATATACGAGGAGGTGCTGAAAAGAATTTAAAAGGTTGGTTAGTTGATTTTGTTTAGCAGCAAATCAACCTCTATGGGTTATTTAATGCCGAAATCTTAATATTTTGAACACAGTTTTAACTACAGATAAAAAGTATTGGTCATTTTTCAATAAAATATATTGTTGTAATTTTACTATGAAATACATGGCTCGTCATTTTATTTTAAGAATGTATTGTGGGTAAGTTTATTATAAATATGGATTTTTTTTATTAAAAAAGTATTGCTGTCATCTTCATGATAAAAATATATTTCCATACTTTCATAGTCTTTGTTTATTTGGGCGGGGGGTCACTATTTGCCCATAGCTGGGACTCTAGCAGATGCTATCACCACGAGTGAGGGTGGACCTGGGAACAACAGCAATTAAGAGGTGTTTTCACGCTCGAATCAAGGTACCAAAGAGGAAAACCCATCAGAACAATTACCGTGAAAATATTTGTAAAAAGGTTACAGAAAAGCTATATTACGGTGGTGGGGACGTAACTGAAGCAAAGATGACAGGTTTGGACCGATAACATTGCAGATTTTGCTTAGGATTTTATCAATTATCTTTAAATACATAGCAGAAGCATCAAACCAGATGTGACAGCAATATTCAATGCATGGATGAATGGTAGACTTATAAATGTGAAACATAGTTTCGCCAGAATCTATCTTACACATTTACAAGTCGACCATTACTATATGCTTGGTTATGCCTCTTTGCCTCTAATCTTAGATCATGATTATTAGACTCACTCTCTGCTTATTTGTAAATGCTCGTGCCTATTATAACAAAAGGAACCACGAATGCCCACATCATGGAGAATCATAACACATAATGTGTATGTGTGTATGTACGTGTGCCTGTGTGTAGGTACATATTTTCCAACATTTTTCCTTCCTTGTCAGTATACATAATATTTTTCTATTAATCAAGCATTATACAGTGAAAACCTTAGATAAAAATGCTGCTAAAAACTATCATTCTAGGGAATTATTGTTCCATATACGTACGTTAATGAGTAAGGTTTTTTGTCTTTTTGTATCTGTATACACAGGTTTCGGGAAGCAAGCACGTTCACATACTTCAAAATATCTTCAGTATACAGGGTGCGATGGATAAATTGTCGTGTAAATTTTGCAAATGTGAAAATAATATTGACATCTCATTTTAACAGATATATTTATCAAAATTACACAAAAATATCTTAAAGAGGAATTTTTTTCAATAAAATCGCCATTACCTTCAACCACGTCCTCCAGACGACTTCAGAATCTCCTGCAACACTTCTGAACGGTCTCCTTGTTTAAGTTGGTGAATGCTGCTATGTATTCTTGATGTAGGCCTCCGTGTTGAGTCTGAGATTCATACCAACAATTTCGGAAATTCTTTTCTGATCAGAACAACCAGACTGTATTTTCTGAAGTGCCGTAACTTCTTAAATAACATTGAGAACTCATCCAGTTTTTTCCGAATCAGCTGCACTATCCTCAGATTGACACCCAAACTCTCTGAAATGTTCGTATTGGGGCTTCCAGCACGAACGCCAAGCAGTACAGAATGCCATTTTCATATTTCTGGCGGAGTGGATTGCATCATGGGGATCTTTTTGCCCTACTAACCCTACTATACTATGCAGTCGACAAAATAATAATAATAATAATAATAATAATAATAATAATAAAAACAACGGGCATGCGCGAACCTAAAAATATAAAATGGCGACAATTTAGCCATCGCACCCTGTATATATGATGACAATATAGTTTTAAGGTATGATATATGTATGGTTAAACCACTCAATATCAGAGATAGAACGTATATTTAATTAAAAGTTTATACTCGGTGTTGAATTCAGAGTCCATTTACACACACACACGCACACACACACACACACACACACACACACACACACACACATATATATATATATATATATATATATATCGGTAATAGTATGACAAAATGAAAAAAACTTATGTAACGCCTTTCCTCCTTTAAATGAAATTCATTAGACTAGCCATTGAAGGACGAAATGCTTTACATAATTGTTTCCCAACATTGGTTTTATTTATAAAATGTATATACATCATATTCTCCCATATATATATATATATATATATATATATATATATATATATATATATATATATATATATATATATATAGAGAAATTGAATTGATAATGTGTCGTAAAGTTTAATATAACAAAAACAAAAATGGCGAACTGAGTTCGAATTTAAGATGAAGCATTTTGTGTTCGATACGTTCTGATACCGTTGTCAAAGTATTTCTCCCATATTCACTAGTTTAATTAACTGCAGATTAATTAGAGATAGGTAGCCATGTATCAAATGTGTGCTAATGCTTTCGTTTTTAAAAAAAAGCCATAAAAATATTTCCTCTCACCCTTGTGCAACTGGGTGAAGAGTCATAGTTTGTGTGTATTTCTAATTAGATATGAAGATAATGAACTGATTGCAAAAGATAGACAATGCCACTGAAAATAAACCACTAACTCTTGCTCCTTTATAATCTCTCTTTATCTTTTTTGTACTTATTCTGTCATTCATTTATTCAAACTCGCTGCTTCTCCCTGCTTCTCGAGCATTCAGTATTTCCTGTGTGTATTAAATTCCCCAAGTTTTTTTTCCTCACTATGTGTCAAAAATATTTAAGCTGCCTCATTCTTATTACAGCAGTTTCTTTGTTGTTTCTACTGAAAACTCGCATAATCACTAAAAATCCCACGTATACGTTCCCATCAACATCCGAATATTGTCAACTTGCTTACCGACTTATTCACCTCCAACTTGACTTTATTCAACATAACATTTTCCCCCTTCCTCTGCCGTTATTTCTTTCTCTCTATTTCTCTCTTACACACATTCGTACACACACACACACACACATACGCATGCACGCAGTTTAAATTCGCTCCTCATTTTTTTATACCGCCTTTCATACCTTTTCCTCTTCTCTGAGAATTCCTTTTCTTTTTTCTCTTTTTTGAATATATACCAGTTTCTACCAATCATTTCGTCTTGATTTATCAGACACTTATTCATTATTTTCTCTTATTTCCATTATTTACTTCTCTTGTCTTCTTTCAAATTTTTTGTACATTTCCTTTTTTCTTCCCCACTCTCTCTATTTCCCTCCTCCTCCTCACCTTGTTAATATTTCCCAAACTTGGCTTAACTTTGCTTTCAGCATCTCTCTCACTCTTTCTCTCTCTCTCACTCTTTCCCATTTATACTTCCTCCTCTTTAATTTAATTTAGCTTTCAATTTTCTTCATTCACTTCTCTCTCTTTGTTTGTTTGTTAGTTTCTTTATTTCTTTCTTTCTTTCTCGTCCTTTACTCTTCTCTAAATTGGTTTCTTTACATTTTACCTTCTCTTCTTCCACGTTTTATTCTCAACTGTATTTTTCTCGTTGGTTAAATTATTTTACTCATTTCTTTAAACTCCTCCTCTCCTCCTTCCCCTCATCCCCTTCCCCTCTCTCTCTCTCTCTCTCTCTCTCTCTCTCTCTCTCTCTCTGTTATTCTTTCTCTCTTTTTCTTTTTAACTTCTCTTTATTCTCTACAGCGTATTGTTTGTCCAGTAAATACATTTTCATCTCACTTCTTAAACGCTCACTCTCACATTTTTCTCTTTCAATTCGTCTCTTTCTCATTTACTACCTCTCCCTTTTTCTGTATATCTTCACTTTTGTCACTTTTTCTTTCAATTGTTTCTCATCTCTCGCTTTTTACTTTCATTTTGTTTCCTTCTCCCATCTTATCTCCCGCTCTTTCTTTCTTTTTCTTTCTTCCTCATTTTCTCCTTTTTCCAAACATTTTTAG